TCCACACTGAATTTAAACACACCAATGTTGAAATGAATGTGGCTCTAATCATGACAATGAAATCAAAAAGACAGCATGATAAAACTGAAAGGAAAAACTTGTAATAAAAGATTAGCCTAATGATGTAAATTTATCAAATTATATTAAATATTGATAATGTATTATATTTAAACATACATATTTTATTATACATTATATTTTCTTGCTTGATTCAATGTATTACAACAAAATAATAGTTAAATCAAAAAAAAAAAGTTTTCTAATTTCATTTTTCAAATATGGAACCATGTGATCTATAGATCAGGTTTGGTCAGACCAAGCCAATTTTAGGTGGGCTCATTCAGATATAATAATGCATAAAAGAAAAAACTTTATTTTTTATTATTTATTCTAAAAATTTGTAATAAAATTTATAACTTTATTAAAAACCTGTAGCTTCAGATCCCACTAAACAATAAAAGTATAAAAACACATGCTGTCAATAATTTTTTTAAAAAGTTTATACTTTAAGAAAGAAAGTGTAAGCAAAACAACAATCATTCAAAAATATTAGCGGTAGCAATGTTTACATATCACTTAATGAGCCAATGACATCACTCAAACTTTACTAAAAAATTTTCACAATGATCCGTAACAAGGATCCTTAACACATGACGAATTATTAAAAATTGACATCTTTTGCACATTAGTATTTTCAATAATCAAGTTTCATCATCTGAGTCATCTGAATATATAGCAATTGTACTAAGAGCTCCCATCTTTAATGCCTTTGGTGTTACGCTCAAGGTATTAATTGGAGGTGGAACTTTGAATACATCTACAAAACATACAAAAAAAATTATATTATATTATATTTTATTAAAAAATTATATTATGTATATAAATAAATATATATATATATATATATATATGTATATATATATATATATATATATATATATATATATATATATATATATATATATATATATATATATATATATATATATATATATATATTCCAAAATTCACCGCTTGTGGTCAAAAAATGGCACTTACTACTCTATGACATCTAGCAAGACAAAATTAAGTACAGAGTATGTCAAAACACATTAATTTAATTGAGGAAAGCAATATCTCAACTCTGGATATCTTTTAAGAATTTCTTTTCTTAAGAAATCTTTTTAAAGTAGTGAAGGGTGCAGAAGAGTTCTTAAACTTTTTGCCAATGATCTCTGTGACTTTTACCCAAACATTGTATAAAACATGATATAATTGTAATGCGTCATAAATATTATATAAAACATGACATTTTCGTAGTGCATCTTCAGATCAGTCTTTCAGTCTATTTGGACCAATAAGATTTCTGGAGTCTTTCAGCCTCCAGAAATCTTATTGGTCCACTATGAACGAGAAACAATTATAAATCTATTAGCATTACTATCAGTTGAAAGAGATTTGGTGAATGACCTTATTAATGAAGCTGTGCTGGATGGTTTTGCCCATTTGAAAATAAGATGACTTAGGCTGAGTTAAGTTTTAGACACCTAATTCTTGATTTATTGTTGGGAACATTATGAAAAATCTAACAAATTTCTGTTTTATCAGCATTTGTAAATCTTTAGATTTAGGAGTTTTTAGTAAATCCAGAATAACTTGGAAAAATGTGCAGTTTATGCTGCAATAACAGTTTTTAACATAATAAAGCTTTAAAATTAACTGTGTTAGTTTAATTACAGGTACAATGTAAACTTCTTTTCTTTATTATTCTCATAATACAATATTTTCAAAATTAACATCAAAGCTTTAGAAATGATCTCCTGAGTAGCAGGTGTAGAATGTTGTTGTAACAGTTTACTGTGATAATACATAGAAAACACTATGTGTTTTACTGCGTCTATTCATAGAAAAAAAAATATTCCAATATATTGTGAAAGAGCTAATATGGATAGTTATTTAAAAAATATAATAAATAACAGTGTGCAGTGATTTTAATTAAATAGTTTACAATGGGAATTTCTGTTTTACAAATTTGCGAGATAACCTAAAGTAATGCATCACATCTTGACTTATCAAAGGGATTGAACTACTAAAAAAGCTGTTACTGTGATATTTTTAGTATGTTATTTTTATTGTTACAACAAAATAAGAAATTTTTGTTTTCATTTTTTCTTCTTTTAAAGAAGATGAAAATAAATGTGTTATAAATAATTTAGTTTAAAAAAAAACTAACCAGAGGTTTTTGATGTATCGTTTGATTTATTTCGAGCTATTTTAGCTGGTACAGTTGATGGAGGTGGAAGAGCCGATGGAGGTGGAAGAACAGGTGGAGGCATAACTGTGTCGACTTTATTTCCATTTTCTTTTTTTGCAGAACGAAATTGAAGTTTAGGAGTGCTGTTATTTTCCTTTTAAAAAAAATCATAAAAATTTTACAAGAAGAAATACAAATAAAAAGAAAAATTTTAGTAACCTTAGTAACATACCTTATATTTTTGAATAACTTGTGGATCCTTAAAAGAAATTTGATAAAATAATAAAAACTATATATATATTATTATTTATATTTAATTTTAAAATTAATAATATTATATAAATGTAGTTTTGAATAAATAATTATAATTAAATATAAATTCTGAATATATATTTGTAAAAGTAACCGCAGCAATGTTTCTATTAATGTTGTTGACAAATTTTAAACTAAAAATCATTTTAACAAACAATGTGTTGAATTGAAATTGAATGCAAAATCTGTTTTTCAAATTTTCATTTATTATTCATAGTAATATTAAGAAATAAATTTTATTAACATCAATTTTTATAAAAGAATTTTATTAGACAAAAACTTATGTTGCAAATGTGTTACATTCCTTTAATTTAAATTGAATGTGGAGCAACTTTTGTAATGGAATATTAGAAAGTAAAGAAAAAGAAAAGAAATTAAAAAAAACTTTCAAGTCATCAAAATCATTTCATAAATTTTAGTATTATTATAAAAAATTAATTATCTAAATAAATTAAACATAAGACGAGGAAAAAAATTAGAACACTTTACATAAGGCCATAAAAAAGTATAAATTTTTATACATTTGTTGTTTTTATTTCTCACCCCATATCATTTTAAATTTGCTTTATTTTGCACATGATTTTTTTTATTTTTTTTTTTTATTTGGTATACTTATTTTATATTTTTGATTATTTTATTTTGATTATCTGTATTTTTAAATAATATTGTGATTTATATATATTGTTTATGTTTGTTCTATTTTGTCTATTTTTGAATTTCTACTAGATTTTATTTTTGTCTTAACAACTGTCTAAATTTATTATTTATTTCATTTTTCTCCTAGGCATTAACTGCTCATATGTGACCAAATTTATATGCCAAAATTTTAAATAAAATCATTTTTTTTTTAAATATTTGAACGCAGAAAAAAGAAATAAGAATGTAATGAAAAAAATTAAAGAAAAATACTAAATGTAAAGACAATAAAAAAAGAATATTTAGTAACTTTAAATTTTAGAAATAAATAAGGTGTAGATTACATGAGAAAACAATATCTTTTTTTATCTATTATTTAGTGCATTTTTTTTAAACTACCAGATCCCAAATTACATCTATTTGAGCAGTTGCTTTTAACAACAATTGATTACTACTTGATGAAACTACTTTAAAAGACTGTTTAAATATTCCAACTTAAAAAAGGCTGATGACGTAAAAATATTTTTAAGGATACAAAGCAAAAAAAAAAAAAAAAATGATTTTTACTTCAGAAAATTTTCTTTTCTTTTTAGGCTCTTCAGTGAACTTTCTTTTAGATTTTGGAGGCGATGATGATTTATCAGGGCTTGACTTCTTGTTTATTTCCTGATTTTTTTTTGGGCTGCGACTTCGACTCTTACTTCTCCTACGATGGCGAGGACTTCGATTTTGACTACTTGAATGACTACTAAAAAAAATACATAAGTTTATAATGAAATAGTTTTTATAGTGACATTATTTGTCATTAATACACTGTTAATTCTAACTATGATGACATGATTAATTTTATGTTACAAAAATTCTTTGATAAATAAGATTTGAAACAATTTTAAAAATCAAATTATCATTTATTTTAAAAATTAAACTAAATGTTATACAAACTTATGTCGATAATAATATTTAGATTATATTATGATTATAATTATAATCTTGGGTAAACAATATTATATATAATTTCAGGTAAGTGATACAATAGCATAAAGCAAGAATAAAATTTACCATTTAAACTATTTAAATTTATGTTGTAAAATAAAAATATGGTGTTAGTTTCATTGAATAATTTTAACCTGCATCATTTCAAATTGTAAGAAACATTATTTTTAGTAGTAGGTTTATTTAGAACTGCGATCCTTGGTATCAGATCACATGATGCTTAGTATCAGATAGTGAATATTTACTGTTAACAACTTTAATGAGTATTAATTTAATTAATTTTAAAATATAAATTTTAACTTAAATTTATAAAGTACTAATTGTATTGCCCCTGAGTACTAGTTACCAGTTATTTTACTTACCCTATGTAACTAAAATAACAGATGACCTTATAAAATTTGTAACCCTCAAAAAGTGAAGAGGGTTTAAAACTTTATATAATCATAATTTTTAAATGCTAAGAGATGATTGTATGAATTTTAAAATATAAATTTAGTTAAGAATAGTAAAAAAAAAAAATATAAACTTAGTTAAGAATAGTAAAAAAAAGTATTTTATCAACTTGTTGCTCTCACATTTGGAAAAGTTGTGGCCAAAAATTTTAGGGCTTTTTGTTCCCAGGCTCCAATTATCATAATTTTTGAAAAGCATCCTTATTTAACATAGGTATAAAGATATATATAATTGGAATTTGCTTCAAGTCTGGAATTCAAGCATCAAAAAAATGTTGCATCAGCTCTTGCCATTAGAAATAGCAGCTGCTCAAGAAGGTGAAAACCATGGGGTAGAATGGGGTAGAAACCATGGGGTAGATTAGAACTTGACTTAAAACTGACAAGAAGAAATAAAAGCTTCCATAACTGCCTAAATCTAGAAGATTACAAAATGTCAGACCGTAGATCATCAACAACAGCTCGAGACCTGTAACAAAAAAATCACAAAATTATTTTCAATCAGCTTTGGGGTAGTAGTAATAATGTAGTGCAATGATAGGGTGCAATGATAGGGTGAATCTAAAGAAAAAGTACAAAATAAAATATTTGAAGGATCATTACATGGGCCAAACCAGGGGAACAAGGAGAAACTGAACAAAAGCTAGGGTCAAAGACAAGATACAAATCAAGGAGTGAAGGTAATTGATTAGGGTTGTCTGAAAAACAAGTCAAGAAGTTAACTATCTGAGTAAGAGATTAAGAGATACAGAAGTTATAGACTTTAGTTATAGGCCAGCAAGTTCAGTGGTGTTAGAGCTAAGCCAATCAGTCTAATGAGGATTAAAGTAAAACAAAAAAAACAAAATTAGCTGACAGATCAAGAGAAAAAGTTTGGTCAACTTGATCAGAAACAACAACTAAAAGAGTCTAAAGCTATTTATTTCTATTTCTATTCAACATTAAAAAAAATTGAATTATACATTTTTTATATTTTTTATATATTCAAGTTATTCACAGGAGTTTTCAGTTCAAGTTCTTTAAAAAAGATTTTTTTATTTTATAATTTTTTATATAGTTTTTTTGAGAATTTGCTGTGTACTTTGTGCACACATTACATGTGATTCTTGACAAAATATATGTCAAGCCTTCCCAGGAGAAGCATGCAGTCACAGGCCTTATATGACCATGCATATAATACTTAGTTTTGACAACTTGACTATGGCTCCATGCATGTTTTAAGTTAGCATGTTTAAAATATGCACTGAAAAAACCAATGTAAAGCTAAACTAAAACTAAAAGTAAATAAACTACAAAAAGAACTAAAAAAATAAAAAAATAAAAATGAATGACAAAATAAATATAATATAAACCAGAAAAATTAAAAGCAAAAAATTGATCTTTTTAATTTCAAAGTGTTTACAGACAAGAATTAAAAAAAAATTGAATATTTCAAAGTTATTTAATCCAAACTTCAAAACTTATTTAAAAATTTTCTCATCAAATTTTTTTCATTTTTTTGCAATATATACAAAAAACCATGGGCAAGTTGTCAAAAAAAAAAATGTATGCATGGTCATATAAAGCATGCAACCACACATGTTTCCTGGGAAGGCTTGTATGTTGCATTGTCCATATTCAAAGTATTAATAAATTTCTTACTAACTTTTTTTTAAATCAAATTTATTTATATTTGTAAAAATGTTTTTAAAACTGTAAAAATTTTATAAAAAATTTTATAAAATTAAAATGTCATAAAAGTTATAATAAAACCTTTTATCTTTGTTTTCTTTCTCTTTCTCTTCATTTTCTACATTTTTATCTGGAGTACTATAAAAGAAACTTTGAACTATAAGATTATTTTTAACTTTATCACTTGAAACTTTGAACTATAAGATTATTTTTAACTTTATCACTTGAAACTTTGAACTATAAGATTATTTTTAACTTTATCACTTGAAACTTTGAACTATAAGATTATTTTTAACTTTATCACTTGAAACTTTTAATCTATAAGATTATTTTTAACTTTATCACTTGAAACATTGAACTATAAGATTATTTTTAACTTTATCACTTGAAACTTTGAACTATAAGATTATTTTTAACTTTATCACTTGAAAATTTTAATCTATAAGATTATTCTTAACTTTATCACTTGAAACTTTGAACTATAAGATTATTTTTAACTTTATCACTTGAAACTTTGAACTATAAGATTATTTTTAACTTTATCACTTGAAACTTTGAACTATAAGATTATTTTTAACTTTATCACTTGAAACTTTTAATCTATAAGATTATTTTTAACTTTATCACTTGAAACATTGAACTATAAGATTATTTTTAACTTTATCACTTGAAACTTTGAACTATAAGATTATTTTTAACTTTATCACTTGAAACTTTGAACTATAAGATTATTTTTAACTTTATCACTTGAAACTTTGAACTATAAGATTATTTTTAACTTTATCACTTGAAACTTTGAACTATAAGATTATTTTTAACTTTATCACTTGAAACTTTGAACTATAAGATTATTTTTAACTTTATCACTTGAAACTTTGAACTATAAGATTATTTTTAACTTTATCACTTGAAACTTTTAATCTATAAGATTATTTTTAACTTTATCACTTGAAACATTGAACTATAAGATTATTTTTAACTTTATCACTTGAAACTTTGAACTATAAGATTATTTTTAACTTTATCACTTGAAAATTTTAATCTATAAGATTATTTTTAACTTTATCACTTGAAACTTTGAACTATAAGATTATTTTTAACTTTATCACTTGAAACTTTGAACTATAAGATTATTTTTAACTTTATCACTTGAAACTTTTAATCTATAAGATTATTTTTAACTTTATCACTTGAAACATTGAACTATAAGATTATTTTTAACTTTATCACTTGAAACTTTGAACTATAAGATTATTTTTAACTTTATCACTTGAAACTTTGAACTATAAGATTATTTTTAACTTTATTACTTGAAACTTTGAACTATAAGATTATTTTTAACTTTATCACTTGAAACTTTTAATCTATAAGATTATTTTTAACTTTATCACTTGAAACTTTGAACTATAAGATTATTTTTAACTTTATCACTTGAAACTTTGAACTATAAGATTATTTTTAACTTTATCACTTGAAACTTTGAACTATAAGATTATTTTTAACTTTATCACTTGAAACTTTTAATCTATAAGATTATTTTTAACTTTATCACTTGAAACTTTGAACTATAAGATTATTTTTAACTTTATCACTTGAAACTTTGAACTATAAGATTATTTTTAACTTTATCACTTGAAACTTTGAACTATAAGATTATTTTTAACTTTATCACTTGAAACTTTGAACTATAAGATTATTTTTAACTTTATCACTTGAAACTTTTAATCTATAAGATTATTTTTAACTTTATCACTTGAAACATTGAACTATAAGATTATTTTTAACTTTATCACTTGAAACTTTGAACTATAAGATTATTTTTAACTTTATCACTTGAAAATTTTAATCTATAAGATTATTCTTAACTTTATCACTTGAAACTTTGAACTATAAGATTATTTTTAACTTTATCACTTGAAACTTTGAACTATAAGATTATTTTTAACTTTATCACTTGAAACTTTGAACTATAAAATTATTTTTAACTTTATCACTTGAAACTTTTAATCTATAAGATTATTTTTAACTTTATCACTTGAAACATTGAACTATAAGATTATTTTTAACTTTATCACTTGAAACTTTGAACTATAAGATTATTTTTAACTTTATCACTTGAAACTTTGAACTATAAGATTATTTTTAACTTTATCACTTGAAACTTTGAACTATAAGATTATTTTTAACTTTATCACTTGAAACTTTGAACTATAAGATTATTTTTAACTTTATCACTTGAAACTTTGAACTATAAGATTATTTTTAACTTTATCACTTGAAACTTTGAACTATAAGATTATTTTTAACTTTATCACTTGAAACTTTTAATCTATAAGATTATTTTTAACTTTATCACTTGAAACATTGAACTATAAGATTATTTTTAACTTTATCACTTGAAACTTTGAACTATAAGATTATTTTTAACTTTATCACTTGAAAATTTTAATCTATAAGATTATTTTTAACTTTATCACTTGAAACTTTGAACTATAAGATTATTTTTAACTTTATCACTTGAAACTTTGAACTATAAGATTATTTTTAACTTTATCACTTGAAACTTTTAATCTATAAGATTATTTTTAACTTTATCACTTGAAACATTGAACTATAAGATTATTTTTAACTTTATCACTTGAAACTTTGAACTATAAGATTATTTTTAACTTTATCACTTGAAACTTTGAACTATAAGATTATTTTTAACTTTATCACTTGAAACTTTTAATCTATAAGATTAATTTTAACTTTATCACTTGAAACTTTGAACTATAAGATTATTTTTAACTTTATCACTTGAAACTTTGAACTATAAGATTATTTTTAACTTTATCACTTGAAACTTTGAACTATAAGATTATTTTTAACTTTATCACTTGAAACTTTTAATCTATAAGATTATTTTTAACTTTATCACTTGAAACTTTGAACTATAAGATTATTTTTAACTTTATCACTTGAAACTTTGAACTATAAGATTATTTTTAACTTTATCACTTGAAACTTTGAACTATAAGATTATTTTTAACTTTATTACTTGAAACTTTTAAAGTCATTGATAAAAATAAATTTCATGCATCATGTAATAACTATGATGGGAATGTCATGCAAAGTCATCTCTAATTATGCAACAATTATGATGGGAATGCCTTGCAAGGTCATCTATAATTATGTAATAGTTATGATGTCATGTAAAGTAATCTATAATTATGCAATAGTTATAATGGAAATGATATCATGAAATAGTAAGAAAAACGTAATCAAAATTTTTTTTTAATCTAAACTAAAAAATTTAATTTATGTAATTGCTAAATATTTTTAAAGAACTTAAATATTCAAAATAAATTTATTAATAAAAAAATTCATAATAATCAATAAAAAAACTTACGAATTAAAACCTAGCATATTATAAACACTTGGTTGATATGCAGTTGATTGCAAAGAGCTTTGAAGTGGATTTTGAAGAGAGTTTTGAAGAGGATAGCTATTATTAGGAGGATAGCTTTGAAACTGCTGTTGATAAATTAGAGATTGTTTTGATGATGCTACATCCCAAGGTAATACTTCCGACATTTGCGAATGTTTTACAACTGAAACAAATTTTTTAGATAATATCATCAACATTTATTTTACACAGTAAAAAAGTTTTTTTTAATTGATCTATAACTTTTTTCATAAATTGATTTAAACAAACAACCTGTAGGTTGGTTTATGGACCGAAGATGTTGCCATTCGTTGTAATCTCGCTTAACCTGTATGAAACTCAAATATATTGAAAACTAATATGCTAAAAGATATATTTTATACTAATATGCAGACCTGATAATAATGACTATAAATATAATAGAGTTATTTCCATGAAAACCTGATCAATAATATCATATATTTGACACTTTGAATTATATATTGCCAATACTGTTATTACAAGATAATTCATAACTTGTGATATATTATTTATAAAAATATGCTTAGTGTATATTTGGAAATCTAAAGTGTGTGTGTGTATATATATATATATATATATATATATATATATATATATATATATATATATATATATATATATATATATATATATATATATATATATATATATATATATATATATATATATATATATATGAATATATGTATCTATGATTAAATTAGAAACTTCATTGTAAATAGTACGATGTGAAGTATATGACTTGGTCCTTAACCTGAAAAAAAAGAAACTATAAAACAAACGAATATCTAAAAAGAAAGAAATGCATTAGATAATCTTGTTGAGGGTGACTGTCTTCACCATTCGCTTTATTCCCATATACTCACAGTATCGATTAAACTGCTACACAACGATCTAGTAGTATTAAGACCTTCCTTCTGGGTATGACTAGAAATAATAAAAATACAACAATGAAATGTTCTGTAAACCAATTAATTATCATTATAACCAATAAAACAACCAATATAAACACAAGAATGAAACTTTTTGTTGATCAGTCAAATAATTTAAACAAATAAAATACAAGAACAAAACAGGGAACTGGAGGTAACTAGGGATAATCAATAAAAAAATAAACTAGAAAATAAAAAATGAGCAAGACATATTACACCAAACAGTTATATTTTTAAAAACTCAAAACAATAATGAATTTAAGCAATATATCTAATAAAACTCTTCAATCTATCAAACAATATAAATTTTAATTAAATATAATCTATTAAGTTAACAAAGAATAAATCCATAGAAAAGTTTATGTACATTGTAATAAACAAATAACCAAGTATATATACATATATATATATATATAATATATATATATATATATATATATATATATATATATATATATATATATATATATATATATATATATATATAAAATCTGTTAACAGGCATAAAATGAAGCTTTACACTTAAATATAAAACTTTTAATTCAAAAATTAACTAGTATTAGCAAAATACAATTCAATATTTTAAGGTACAGTCAATGCATTTAGTTAACCTTTTCTATTAAAAGATTTCTTATCATTTAAACTTTAGTTTACCTTTATATTAATTAAATACCCTTCCCTTTCCTTGAAGCCTTAATTTTCAGAATATTAAAGTTTAAAATTTTTATCAAACTGGGTACAAATACAAGACTCTTTTAAAAAGTTAATTAATTCTCTGCAATCTTTTTTTTGTCAATTTCTCTACAATTTTCATTAAACATTCTGATAATTATTTAATACATTTATATACAAGAAATGGCAAATCAAAAAAATTAAAACCAATGTAAAGAGAAAGTTTGTTTTTTACTATTTTTTCTTTTCGGTAATTAATAACATTTTCAGTGTTTTTTTTATTTTTTTTGTTTTTTATTTTTTCTTTAAGTATGTTAGGTTAATGATTTCTAAAGAAGAAAAAAGATTAAAGCAACATAAAGTCATAATCATGTATTATAAATGTTTCTTTGTTTGAAATAAAGTTGTAAAAGTCTAGTAAACATAAAAACTACTTATAAAAACATAATAGTCAAGTAACATTTTAAATGTGTTTTATATATTTTCTATATATGTATATATATATATATATATATATATATATATATATATATATATATATATATATATATATATATATATATATATATATATATATATATATATATATATATATATATATATCAACAATAATGATAATTTTTTTTTTTTTTTGTTGACGATTAATCAACTGAGCAATCCCGACTATGAGCCTTTAGAATTAGAAAAAATAAGGTCAACAATTTATTGCCGACCTTGAGCTGCAAGTTGCAACAGATCGGCAAAAATAATTTTTTATGATTCAAATCATTATGAAAAGACAACAAACAAAAAGAGTGCAAATTATAACAAAACAAACAAAAAAGAGAATCAGGAAAACAAGATGAAGAGAGCCAATTCCGAATAATTGATGTTCGAAGGAAAAAACTAGATGAAAAAGAATTTGTGGAGCACTTAAAAACAGTCACAGTAAAAGGATGAGACTTAATTGAATGGCGAATAACACAAGAATGAATTTAGTCGATGAGATGCTAGCCCTTTAGATCAGTGCCCATTTTAGCATTTATAGAAAAGAGAAAGAAAAGCAACATTACAATGATGAGACAATGGTTGAAGCTGCAAGAGCAGATCCAACTATGTTCACAATGCATTTTTGCACCTTATCTAAAAGAGAAAGGTCATCATTGAAAGATCCACTTCAGATATAACAACAATATTCCATACAAGGATGGATTAGAGATTTATGGAGATAAAGAGTAGAATCTGGAGTAAGAAAGTGGCAAGCACAATAAAAAGGTGCAACCTTAGCATCTTTAAAAAAAATTATAGGTCCAAGGATAGAACCTTGAGACACTCTTGAAGTTATAGGAAATGAAGAAGAGTGCTGTACATTAAGGACAACTTTTATACTAGGATTGGTAAAGAAGAATTCAATTATCTTAAAAATTTTACCTGATACACTGTAAGGAGAGACCTTATGGAGAAGGCAAGTATGCCAAACTTTATAGAAGGCTTTAAAAAGTTAGAGAGTGGTAGCCCTATCCTCTCTGATGCACAATAAAACCTATCGGTTAATACCATTAAAAAATCAGCAGTAGAACAAGAAGATCAGAATCCATATTGAATCTATTAACTGATCAGAGAGTAAGTTATTAGATTGTAGTAAAATATTAGATTATTAGATAAGATGAGAGATGTTAATTTAAGACACAAAATCCTTTTTTATGATAGTAAGAAAATTTATCCAGAATTTTTGAAAATAGGGTTAACAGATGCTACTTTCCAGCAGACTGGAAAACAAGACTCTGATAAGCTCTTGCTAAATATTTTTAAAAGTATAGATGCCAGCTCGGGAGAACACTTGTGCAACATTATAATAGATATGTTGTCTAGACCACAAGCTGTAGAAGAGTCAGCAGCAGATCACTATAGATACAGATGCTGGAGTGATACAAATGTCAAGCAATGGATTAATCTGTTCGTTGCCTATATCAGGTAGAATGTGATTAATGGATCAACAGATGAGATTGATGAATAGCTCTTAGCAAAAAATTCAGCTTTGTCTTTAAGTGAGGCAAAAAAACTGAACCATTCAAGAGAGGTGGAATAACAGATTTGCTCTTATTATAGACACTGTTATAGACAAAACCTATTTAAAATGGTTTCTAGCAACAGTAAACAAATGTCTGTTTTCTGTCACCTGGAGAATTGTTTTGGTGATAGATATGGAAGTAATGGTTACGATTGGAAATTACATCAGCACAATAAGAGGAAAACCATGGATAGCAGTGAGGATTGACTTGAAATTGTTGAGGGGGAATAAAAGATTCCATGCCAGTCTGAGTCTAAGAAGTTACATAAGAAGCCCCTTTGTTAGCAGGAAGATTAAAGATTTCTAAAGCCCAAAGCCCATTGCAAAAAAAATCACTGAAAGAGTTCCAGTCAGCTTTAAGGTAGTTGTGTGAGATAAAATGATAGGAGAATTTTGATGATGAAGAAGAATGAGATAATAGTCTTAGAATGATCAAACCATGGTGAGAAGCAATCAAGGGTGAATATAGAGAAACTGAGCACTGACTAGTAACAGAAACAAGACATAAGTTGAGTAAAGAAGGTAAATGATTCGAATTGTCTGGAAAGGGAACTGTTAGAAAGTTGACTGTTTGTGTTAGAGATTGAGAAAAGCAAAAGTTCTGGGCCTTAATACCAGCGGAGTAACTGACACAAGAGCCAAGCCATTCAATGTGATGAGCATTAAAGTCACCAACAACAATGATATTGGCTGAAGGATAAAGAAAAAATTCAAATTGATCAAAAATAAAATTGAAAAGAGTGCTATTTGTATTAGAGATTGATAAAGGCAAAAGTTGTGGACCTGAATGCCTGCATAATCACTGTCACTAGAGCCAAGCCATTCAGTATGATGTGCATTAAAGTCACAAACAACAAGATTAGCTAAAGGGGAGGGTCTTGGTCAATTCGATTAGAATTAAGATTGAAAAGAGTTAAATCCACAGTCCTGAGATAAAGGAGAGCAATACAGAACAATGAGAAAGTGAAAGTGAAGAGAATACAGAACAATGAGGCAATAAAGTGAAGAGGTGCTAAACAAAAGCTCATAAAAGAATAGTCTGTGGATTCAAACCTAGTTTCTCAACTATTGAATTCTTATGAATGAAAATGCCAAGCCTTTGACTAAAGATTCCAAGTCTTTGCAAATTAAAGGAAGATAACCATAAACACTAAGATCACAAGATGATACAGCTGAACTAAAATAAATCTTACAGAGAACAAGTAAGTCTGGTGAACTGTGTAAAAGAAAAAACTCAACACAAGAAAGGTTAATTCGAAGACCACAAATATTAGTGAATGATTTAGAGAACGTTGGTTTTGTGTTTAGTGTGTCTAAGTACCATTCTTTTTATTTTCTACTTGAATACACTTGCATTCAAAAAAAATATTTAAAAATTTTAGAAATAAAAATACAATCACTATCTTAAAAAATGTTTAATTTTGTGAATATGTACCCTGTATCATATTGCAGATCAATTTGTTGTGTATTAAATGCAGTGACTGTAATATGATAGCATATGATAGAAGATCATATGCTTTTATGATACCAATCATAAAAAAAGATCTTACCTGATGTATATATGTAAGGCTTCAAATGATTCTTTTCCAGAATTTTGCTCCAAATAACCTGAACCTTGACCACGAAGGAATACCTTTAAATAGTTATAAAAATTATTAATAAAAAAAGCAGTAACAAAAAAATTGACTGAGAGAGGATTCTTTGGTTTGCTAAGCGAGACAGCATTTTAATTTTTAAAGGTTGTTCATCGTGATCATCTTCTTTTCTGACATGTTCGCAGATTGTTTCAAATAAAAGTTCAATAAAACTAATATAAAAATAAAATTTTAGAAAAAGCTTAAGAAAAAATACATATACTGTACTTCCATGTTTCTTTCACTATTTCCTACTATTTGAACATATTAAAAAAAAAATTTTGTAATAATTTTAATAATTATAATATCAACAACAAAAATAACTAATAAAATAGAGACAATATTTACCTTTGCACTTGTTTGTTGGATGATAAAGTTAAAATTTGAATTCTATTGGAAAAAAAAAATCATTACATATAATGAAAAAAGTTAATATAGCAACAATATTACAGTGTTTAATACATTTATTTTAGAGTCATGTGTTTTTGTTTTTTTTACATTTTATAAAAATTATGTATTTTAAAAAGTATTTATGTATCTTTATTTTATTATCTTTATTTCTTATGTATTTTAATTTAAAGTAAAAATTTCTTTTAAAAATTTTTATTTTTGACTTTTTTTTAAAATTTTGATATTTTTTTCCTTTTTTACCATAATATATATACTAAATGTTTTTGTAATGCCCAATCACTTTTCATTTTAAATATTTTTTAGCATTGTCAACTTTCTCAAATTTTTTGCTAACTTTCAAACTTTGTACAAAATAAACCTGGATGATTATTTTGCTGGGTTTTTTTCTGTGAAGTATGACAAGATTTTTTTTAGACCTTGACAAACAGTGACCATACCTTGGTCACTGTGTAAAGATATAATTTAAGCACAATACCAATATGCAACACTCCAGGTTAGTATTTCTTACTTTTGAAGCAAGTACTTAAAAACTATCCATTTGTTATGACTCATTTTTTTCTAAATAAAATTTTCTGTAAAAGTTGATGTTTTGTAAATAATTTTTTTTTTTAAATCTGTTCTAAAACATTTGAATGTGAATTAAAATTGGAACTTTGGATTTCTTGATTAATTTATACTTTTTGACAACTAAGCCCTAATGTGACAATATATAACAAATACATGTAACAATACTTAACATGTATATATATATTATATACATATACATATATACATATACATATATACATATATATATATATATATATATATATATATATATATATATATATATATATATATATATATATTTATTTATATATATATATATATATATAATATTTACATATATATAATATACATATATATATAATATATATAATTATATATATATATATATATATATATATATATATATATATATATATATATATATATATATATATATATATATATATATATATATATATATATATATATAGTCAGCGAAATTCAAAGGTCAGCACGCTTGGGCTGACTTTAGCCGACATCAGGTCGGCAAAATAAAATTGGATTTTTTGCTTTCTGTTATGATAGGGGTAATAATTAATTGGTTATAAAAGGATTGCTTTATAATAGGATAGCTTCAGACAATAATATTTTAAAGAATGTAGCAATTAAATTATGTGTAGTAAATTAAGTATATATCAAATTTATGAATTTATGATTTTTTAGTTTTGAAGTTGTTTATTTTTATTTAAAAATGGTCATAGTTTATTTATTACATTTTAATTGGTTTTTTATATTGCTCATAGAAAGAACGTCGTTTAGAAATACAAATTTAATTTATGCACTGTAGGCGAAGATTTTGTTTAAAACGGCAAATGGTTTAACAAAATAAGTAGATAATTTATATCCGGTTGTTTAACCTCTACAAGAAATAAGCATTAAATTCTAAAGTAGTAGGGGTGGTGTTTTTTAATACTTAATTGTAGTATAGTATGAACTTGTAACTATATGTAAATTGATGGAGGGAAAACAAAAGTTAAAAATACTAAAAATATTTTCTTTTTCTTAATACAAACATTGTTTCCACGCAATGGTGATTATCGTATTGACGTATTTTCATAATTTTCTCATTATCAGATTTTTCTGTTCAATCAACATCAAGTTATTTTTTTTATAACTGTTCCCCATACAAATGTTTCTGTTGCTAATTTACCACAGCCTTTATTTTTATTATGACAATTTTTTAAAAGTTCTGAATACTCTCGGCAAATTTTACACTTGCCGAGACAATTCAGAGTTTTTAAATTACTTCACCTGAATCATCAGTTTGAAATCCGCAGGATTTAAACCCCCATTTTTCAATGACAGTTCTGTTAGGCATTATGACTTGTTTTGAGCTTGCTTACTGTATTACTAATGCACCTGTTGCGATTTAATGGAACCCTTAACTTCTATCAAATTAAAAAAAAGTTTTGTTACTAATGTTTCTTTTCTGCATGCGTTTTATATAACTATACCAAGGCTAAACTTTCCTAATATACTTTCTGATCTTAAATAATATTTAAAAAACCGTAAACATGTAAATTATTTTATTAGTTAAATGGTTTTAACTAATAAAACTAACTAAAACTATGTTTTATAACTTAATAAAATAACAATTGCGCTTAAAAAAGTGCAAGAACAACAGCCATTTAAATGCAATACTTTTTAACCTTGCTATACTTGCTATACTTGATGCTATACTTGATGCTATACTTGAATAAATTTGAGAAAAAAGAATAAATAAATTGAAAAAAAATGAATGAATTTTTGTTTTAACAAAACAGGTCAAACTTGAAAAGCAAGTTATTACAATAAAAAATTATAAAATAATATTTAATGAATATTATATATTTTTTACATGTATTTCAATTTGCATGCCGACACTTTAGGATATTCAGGTCAGCAGTTGTATGCCGTCCTAAACCAAAGATAGGTCAGCTTTTGCGTCAGCATATATATATATATATATATATATATATATATATATATATATATATATATATATATATATATATATACAGTAAATATATATATACACAGTGTATATATATATATATATATATATATATATATATATATATATATATATATATATATATATATATACATATATATGTTCTTCTAAAAGATGAAGGGCTTTCTAGTCATGTGAGACCCATAGAATCCAGCTGATTTTATTATCCTTTCTATAGTTCTCTCCAAAACATTGTTATCAAGGATTTCTTTAATATTCCTAGTTGACAGAGTTGGTTCGCTTTGTTGTTTCTTTTAGAATTCTGTTACCGTCATGAAATGATGTCTTAAGTGATGCCTGTCCTCATTATATTTTCTACAGTATCATGTATTTTATATTTTTTTTATAATTGATTGTACACTAGCTTTACTTTTTTTATACTTTTGACCTATTTTACTGTAACCTAAACCACTTTTAGGTCATCCACAATTATTTGTCTTAAATCCAAACTTAAAACAAAAAGTTTTATTTTGTTTTAGGGATTTTAATCAATATTAAGACATTTTTAACAAAATAAGTTCCACTATCACATATATCAAAGTCACAGAATAAAGCAACAAACAAAATATTAATCAAACAGTTTCATAAATTTAAAATAAAAAAATCTTAACACCACTGTATGAATATTTATGTGCGCAAAAAACTGCTGATTTTGCAATGAAATAAATATAACTTCGTAAAATGGGCATTCCCAGATTTAAAAATAATAGATTGCTGATATATGCAATATAGAAAATTATTTTAATAAAAAATAATTTTCTATATTGCATATAGAAAATTATTTTTTCTATATGCAATATAGAAAATTATTGGAAATTTACCCATATACCTTTGTCAATTTGTTGACCGGAAAATCCAAAAGATTTTATGGTCAACAAATTGACAAAGGTATATGGGTAAATTCTGGAATGTTGGTAAAGGGATAAATAAAATAACTAAAAACTACTAAATAATTATATCACTCTAAAATTCTTTTAAACCGAACATAATATCTCAGTTTTATCGTAAACAATTTGAAAAGTGTAATAATTTATATACTTTATATAAAATATATAATATGATATAAAATGCATTGTCTCACATTTTATACAAAATATAAAATGTCCGACAATGGTTCAGAAATCAATACTTTTTATTCTTATAACTTTCTGTTGCAAAACATTTGTCAACTTTTCATTATCTGCACTTTTTTGCATTATCATTAATAGATTTCTTTAATTCTTTTGCACAATTCATGAGGCAATTGTTCACCATGATGAAGTATGGTGTTCATCATGTTGAACGATTGCTTAACATGAAAAATACTGAATATACTTAATATACTGAATATACTGAATATACTGAATATACTTAGACATGCCTTGATTATTTTACTAAGCTCTAAAAAATATTAACACTTAAAAACTTCTGCCCACCAAAAGTTGTTGTATTTTATCACAAATTGTTAGCAAAACCTGGAAAGTTCTGGAAACTAAAAGGAGTTTTAGGTAAATTTCGAGAACTCCGGAATTCTTGGAAAAAACTTATCTATACATTTATTAACTGCAATCAATTTTGATACACCCATAATACTTTTTTTTTTATTGGTGAACAATTTTAAAGTATTAGCAACTTATAATCTTATTCCTTTAACCCCTTAACTGTGTCTGACAGATATACCTGTCTCTGCAAGGTATAGCTCTCTGCGTGTCTGATCGATCATTCCACATAATGAAACTTTTTTTTTTAGAAAATGTTTACAATTTAAGGCGCACTATACAAAAAAAAGTAAACAACTTAAAATAATCATAAACAAATATATTTTGCTGTAATAGAAAATGTAATTTTTAAATCTATGCCACAGTTAAGGGGTTAAAGTAATAGTTTGGAGGTTATAGTAATAACTTAGTACTTTCACAGATTCTTGTTCTCTTTGAGTTGATAGTAATTAACATCATCTAAAGTTATGAAAAGCTGAATACGTTTTGTCATATCAATTCAATTAATAAACATTAACTTACATCAACTCCTGTTATTCTTTCGTTCAATGGAAAATCAGGATGAACATTCGTAAGTCCAACAAAAACTTTATCTTGAATAAAATGATGAGTCTGACAAAAAATAAAAAATTTCAATTGAATTATTACAATACTTTTCTTTTTTGTGGAAAATGTTGCTTCATATAATAGAGCAAACTTTAGAGAAAAGATTATTTCATATTATAGTATAAACTTTATAGAAAATGTTATTTTATATTATAGAATAAACTTTATAGAAAAGAATGACAGTTAAGGAAAGATAAGTATTATAGTTTAAAGCCATTAACAAGCACAACATGAACAACTCAACTAAACAACTTTTAACCAAGGGATCGTCCATAAATAATTGTACTGATTTAAAAAATGGAAGTAAAAGATTGTTTTTTCTTTTGCAAGTAAAACCAATATTTCAACTCTTGGTTTCATTAAAGATTTTATGAAGGAAAGTATTTTAGTTTAGTTTATTAATTAAATTTATGATTACATAATCTATGGACGATTCCTAAAGAGATAATTTTCATTAAAAACAAAAATTTAAAGTAAAGCAAAACAAACAGTTTGTTGAACAGATGCAGTTAATCCATAATTGCTAGCCAGCCCATTGTAACCATGCTTCTCACAATTGTCAATAACTTGTTGTACTTTGTGAACAGCAACTTAAAAAAAAAAAAATGTTTTAAAACACTTATTACATTATTATTCAATTAATTGATTTTAAAAAAGTGCTTACCTTGCACTTTTGCAGCTACATCAGCATGAATCATCAGTGTTAAAGGTTTTTCACTATAAAAAAAAAAAAAAAAATTTCATGTTCAAATCTATACATTTTAAAATTATTTTTAAAATGTTCATTCTTACAAAAAAATCATGCCCCTATTAGTTAAAAAAAAATCGCTAAAACATAAAAGGAATATCTTAATATAAAAAAAGAATAATTCATTGTACTTAAAAATGAAGTTTTGCATTCACAAAGTTAACTATATCTGATGCAAAAACCTCTTAAAAATAAAACCATTAATCCACAGAATAAAAATCTATTTAAAATAATTCTTGATTCTACCAATAAACACACTATAAACAAATTACAATTGCTTTAATAATAATTGTGCCAATTATTATTTTTGCTATTTATTCAACGATTTTAAATAAATTTAAAAAATCAATAAAATCGAAAAAAAAAACTTTAGTAAACGTAACAAAAGACCATGAAACTTTAAAACAAATCAATTTAAAAAAATAAATAAATAAATGCTCTTACGATGTGCCAAATAAATTAAGTTTTCTTTTATCATCTGCACTTAAATATCGACCACGCAAAGACAACAATGCACCGCTTTGACGCCCAATCTGTAATAACATGTAACTTTAGAAATTAATTTGAGTAAAGCTCCAAGTACTGCAAGCAATGCATACTACTAAGCATTGTTAAGTATTGTTGTACTATATACTTAATATATTGTTATAGGGCATTTTCAAAAAACCACGTACAGAAACTTGTCGATTATTTTCATAAAAATAAAACTGAAGATATCTAATTTACTCTTATTTAATTCCAATTAATATTAATATTTTCTAAACAAAACAATGGTATATATTAGTAATGTTATCAAAGAATAAATCAAGTTTGAAGCCGAATCACACACGGAAAAGAAAAATGCACATTTTAGTTACCAAATAAATAAACTTTTATTCCTCAGAAAATATATTTTTAGAATAAGTTAAACAAAAGAACTAAATTAAATTAGTCTGTGACTTCCGTGCATCGTCATGAACGGAAGTCACAGACTAATGCAAATTTGTCAATTTCATGAAAATAAATTGCTTGTGAGTACTTAAGTAAAATATTATTCTTCTACAACTCATATTTAATATATTTTTATGAGAAATAGCAGTCTTCAAATATTTCTAGTTAGAGTATGGCATTTTGAAAAATATTGCAAATTTTTCAAACTATTGCGACATTAACACACAAAAAATATAAAATGTAAAATATATATTTTAAATTTTTTCAGGTAGCTTAAAATATGATTAAAAATTTTTTCTTATAATGGTTCTTTAAGAAAATCATAATAGTATGCATATTGCTTTAATTCTCTGCTTCTAATATTAGAAAAAAAAGTCATGCACAGAAATGGAAATGAACTATATTGTGAAATAAAAAAGTAAAAGAAGAAAAAAAAAAGTAAAAGAAGAAATAAAAAAGTAAATGTTTCTCACCAAATCTTGAGATGAAGACTTTGTTAAAAAAACTCTAAAAACATAAATGTTAAAAACTGTTTTAAAAGTATTTAAAAGTAAATGAAAACAAAAACAGAACATTTTTGCTACATATAAAAACGCAAAGAATTATAAGCTTTTTTTTTCTTTTTCAATTTTTGAAAAATTCTTTACTAATAAAAAATAAAACCTAAAAAAACAATATATATACTTATATATATATATATATATATATATATATATATATATATATATATATATATACACTACCGGTTAAAAGTTTGGGTTAACCTTATAAATTTAATAATAAACAAAAAAAAATAAAGATTTTTCTCATCATAGATATCTATTTTTACTGTTTATAAAAAAATATTTTCAGCAAAATTATTTTGAATATCATGCAGTATATTTTCACTTTAAAAAAAAAATACATTTTAATAATTTTCAATTGCTCATTCTTTTCAATAAAATAATCATTCTTTTAAGAAAATGAAAGAATGAGATGAAATTTTTAAAATATTTCAGTATTTTTTTAAAATTATCTTTATCCATGGTACCCTCAATTCCTCTAAGATCACCAACATTTTTTCCAGCAAAGCATCCCAAATGTCAAGCATGCTTGACATTTGGGATCACATTGTTTGATTACACTTTTACCAAATAAAAAGCGAATAATGATTTTCTCATAAAATTTTGAATTTTGATTCATCAGTGAATACTTGCGACCATAGTTATATTTCCAAATTTTTAATTTTTTTTGCCCTTTTCAATCATTTAATTTTATTTAGCTTGCATAGTAAGTAATTTTTGGCAGCAACGCTTCTTTTCAAACTGTAATTGCTAAGACACTGTTTTACAGTTAAAACAGATACTGGTGTTTCTTGCATGGAGTTAAGTTCTTGGCAAATTTCGGTAGCAGTTCAAGTACATTTTCTTTTACTTTAAACATGGGTGAATTTGTCTTTGTGATTCAGCATTGCCATAGGTCTCCCTGAACAAACGCATTTCTGATTACATCCAGTTTCATGTTATCTTTGCAACACTCTAATGACTGCATTTTGGAAAAAAATGGTTTTTATCGCAAGGCCTGATATATATATATATATATATATATCAGGCCTTGCGATGAATAAGAACTGCGCGACGCATAAGCACGACGTGATTTTTGACGTCATTAAATTCTTTTTATTTGCTTTTCATATTTATCGACATTAACTGCACCAATTTACTTAATTACCGCAAAACTACTTTAAATCGTTTATGTAGAAATGTTATTATTTAAAAAATGTTTTGGAATGTTTCGTTTTTTAAAATGTAAAAACATTTGTTTATTTTCTCGACGTTTGTCACGTTTTGTCTTTACTAAACAAATAAAAAACATTATAACTTAAATTTTAAAATAGATTATAAAATATGCTAATATTTGATTTTTTTTTTCTTAAATATGTAATTTAAAGTTTTTCAAATAATTATTTTTTCTTTTTTAAAAGTCAGCGAGTAATAAACTGGAAATTTTAATATTGTACAAATAAAAACTGTGCAATAGCTAATATTTTTACAAGCGATTTTATATAATTTTTATTTATTTATTTTTATTTATTTTTATTTATTTTCATAAAGCGGTTAATAAGCACAATCACTCGTATTAATAAAAAACTTAAACAAACGTTTTGAATAGATTTTTAATGTTAACAAGGAATTTTATTTCTAGTAAAATAAAATAAAATGTTAGAATAAAAAATCTTATAGGTATAAAAGAAATATTTTAGCGAAAAAATTATTCTTAAAAATTATTATTAAAAATTATTCGAAAAACTATTGACGTTCTATTTTTCTGCAGCTGTTCTTGAGCACGCTTCCATGAGTTTCGGTAACTTTTAAAATAAAAGCGATCGTTATTATTTAAGTAATTTTTTTGAGTTACTTTTTACAAAAATTTTAATAACTGTACTTTTTTTATTGAATCAAGTAGAATACGTTTTAATATTAATCCTTTTTTTTTATTTTATTTGCGCTCACCAATTTTTAAAATGTTTCCTCGAAATTACTCTTACATACTTTAAATACGTCTAACAGTTAATAAATATTTTTAAATCTATGGAATAATTTTAAAACCTAACAAACCCCAGTAAAATAATTATTTAAGTTTAAAATCTAAAACTAAAAGAAAGTATTTTTGTTCAATTTTGCTATTGCTGAATAATTTTATTAAAATGTTAGCTTAAAAGATTTAAACTTTTTTTTTAATCTGAACTTTTTCTACTTGTAAATATTCCATTTTTTTTAATTCAAACTTTTATTTCAACTGCGTGCGGTTTTTGAAATACTTTATTAAATGTTAAAATAATCGTAAATTACTTCATTAAAATTCCGCTCAAAAATATCTTTAAATATACTCAAACAAAAAATTTTTTGCTCGACGTAAATAGCCCTAGCTACACGCAAAATCGCTCTTGGACGACGTAAAATTCACATCGCCCGACGCTTTATCGCGAGGCCTGATATATATATATATATATATATATATATATATATATATATATATATATATATATATATATATATATATATATATATATATATATATATATAAATATATATACAGGGCTTGTGATGAATCGAGCGCGATCGTGCTCCGCTCGTGAAACGCGCCCATAAATGGTATTTTGAAACGTTCCAGACGCGATAAACAACGCTCGTTCAGCTTATAACGAGCGTATAAAATAGCGCTCGTCCAAGA